CCCCCTCCCCCCTCCCCCCTCCCCGAAACACTCTCGGGGAAACGCGACATTTATCAGATTTTCCCCGCAAATGGACCAATTACACTTGTTGTCACGATCGGAATTTGATTCGCGGCACGCGCACCTGTTTCAATTTGATAGTTAACCCCGATCGTTGGCCTAACTAATTTAAGCATGTAAATAGGATATTGGTCTGTGTATCGAGCCCGCAGGGACGTGGTGAACTTGCTAGAATGGAACGAGCACGGCACGTTCCATTTCTAAACTTGCGACTTTGCCTTCGTTTGCCGAGTCTTCGGTTTATTAGCCATTTGCCGTAGAAGAGAATGAGAAAGGAATTTGCAAATGTATATTTATAATTACTTGATTGTACACAGAAATTACACGATATTTATTTGTTGCAAAGATATTCTTCCGTTCGTGGAGAATACGCGCTAATACGACCAACGAAATCTATGTATTGTAAAGTGCAAATGCAGTTGGAAGATTTAATGCTAAATATTAAATACAACATCAATACTTAGCTTGAAACGCAATTATTCAAATACTTTTACGACTATTAAATATTTAGTATATTCATGCTACATGTTTTGAAATTTCTCCAATATGATCGCGCCACTCGGGCAAATAAAATAAAAGTTGAACACTATGTGAAAACTAACGTCAAGAATGAATTAAACGAAGGTCCACAACGTAGTAAATTCTACCAAGAAAGGTTGTACTTCAGCGGATTAACCAAAAAAGAAAGAATCATATTGGCATGATCAAAGACATAGTATAACTCGTGAACACCTAATCAAAAAGACTGACCTTCTTCTCTGCAACGGATGTCAAAAATCTGTCAACTTGACACACATTCTATATGAATATTCACATAGTATGAAATATACTTCGATATATAATAAATATAATATACTAAATATATCTACATATCTATATACTTCGATATATATACTAAATATAATACTATGAAATATACTTCGATGCGATTGCGCAAAGAAAATGGCACACGTGACACACTTATATATATGCGTTGACAAATTGGAAATCAAATGAACACTATAACCACACAATTAAGCATTTGTACATAGAGATTACAAGATATTTATTCACTTTGTAGACTGATACAATGACACACAGTGTCGCGAGTGTATAAAAACGAAAGGGACGAGAAGTAAATGGAAACGTTCGAGCTGACATAATGATGGAACCGTGACGGATAATGCCACCATCGCGATTAGTTTTTCTCCGCGTGAAGGGAAGAATTCCAGCGCGCACCTGTGCATGTGCATGTGTATGTGTGTGAAGAAAGCAGAGAAAAGAAAAGAGCGGGCGAGTCGAACATTTGCTGGTGCTTGCAAGTTACAAAGGTTCCGCAAGGCGTTCAAAGGCAGCACATAAATCCAAAGGCACAAATGACTCGTTCTAAAGTGATTTTATTCCCCCGTCCTTTCGTCCCTTTCTCGCGGAGGAGCCAATCTTGTGACGAATTCCTTCTAGCATTCTTATTCCATTTCCTCGAGAAACAAAAGGCCAGCCTGAGAGGAATCCTCGATTTCTCGACGCGTAAACAGGCGAGCGTGCATCTTCGTCCCGCTCGATCTTTCGTGACGTGTTTCAAGATTAAGAGCTTTCACCTTGATGGAGTAACGCCGGGCGGAAGAAGAAGAAAAACCGAACGGGAAGGCTGCGTCGAGGTTTTACGAAGGAATCGACGTGCACGTAAACTGTTGCACCGGTTAGTCAAGTGTGGAATCTCAACGTGGAAGCTCATCTCGAGAGGAACTTAGCTTTCGTCGGAGAAGGGGCCGACTAGTTAAACACCGGAATGTGAGAAAAATTTGGAACTTGCAGAAGCGGAGTTTAAATGTCAGATTTTTGCACGTATCGTATCATGTATCACGAACTTCTTCCCAATTCCTTGGAACTCGACTCAATACTTCGATCATCTGCTTCCCTGTTGAAGTTCAGAAGCTCTGATTTCCACCTTCATTCGTACGATTCGAAACTTCAAAATAAACTTGGGAAAAAATTCGATCGAAAGGAATTGAAAGAGTCGAAGTAATTCGATTTCTCGAGCTCGTGGCGTTCCTTAATTTTTCACTGGGTTGCATCAACAGCGAGCTTGTTCTCTTCGTCGGGAACATGGAAAACACGGTCGTGGGGGAAATAATAGCTCGCAAGGAACTCGAAGATCCCTCGACCGACGGGGGATTGTTTTAAAGAAGCTTTCAGCTTTATTAACGCCGGCGTTAATTTCACGGGCTCGCTCTGCCACTTTCGCAGCCATCCGTCACCCTTCAATGCGCTCGAGTCTTACGTCCCGAGAAAGCTGCTCACTCTTACTCTCTCTCTCTCTCTCTCTCTCTCTCTTTTTTCTCTCTCCTTTCATCCCGTCGCGTTCGCTTTGCTCTTCCCGCTTTCTGATTTCAATTGGACCGGCTTACGTATGAAATGCTTTCCGTTTGTCGCGTCAAGCTTTTGCTCATCTCTCTGTTTTATCGCGAAACGCGCGACGCTGAAAACACACACCCGTGTGCATGTGTGCGAGCAATTTAATAGGAATTCTGTCGCCAACAGGAGGCATCGACGACGATTTTTCTGCGAAATTTGGAAATACAAAGCAAACAATGTGTGCTGTAATTTCCATCCAGCTGTAATATCTCTTCGAATTGTATGTATTGCAATTACAAAAGGGCATTTCATTTTCGCGAAACTCAACAATTATGCGATACCGGCAATGATTCGTCCATATGTTACAAATATTTTCAATTTCACTTTGGAACTGTATGAAGAAATTATATCATGACGAATTGATGTATTTGTGTACATTAATGTTATTTAATACGTAGTTTCATACAAAATTTGGACG